TTTTTTTTTTTTTTTTTTTTTTTTTTTTTTTTTTTTTTTTTTTTTTTTTTTGATGAGTTTGTTTTGATCCATTTTGATAACTTCTTAAAAATTCTCTCATTTTGGGGTTCCATAATTTGAAGGAATAGGGAGTCTCCTGATGAATTCTTTGAGTTGCTTTATTTTATTTCTAGGCCTGTAATTTACGTACGCACTAGAATCCAAGAAGTTTTCATTTTTTAACTCTGCTTCTGGTATTTTACCTTTATTTTATATCTAGTCTTAATTTTACTATTAAAATAGTAAAGCACATCTAATTGTATCAGAATGTTGATGATATGTTCTCCTTTCTCTTTTATTGTAGGTCCAATATCGTATGCACCCATCCCTTTCTGAATTTCCTTCCAACAGCTTCTACGAGGGCACACTACAAAATGGAGTTACAATCAATGAAAGGCAATCGACAGGCATCGACTTTCCATGGCCAGTTCCCAACCGTCCAATGTTCTTCTATGTTCAGGTATAATGGATTCAGGTATCTTTTAGAATTTGAATAGCAGAATAAAGAAAAAGGATCCTCCAGGGGTGGTGGTGTTGTCATAGTTTTGAAGCTACAAACCAATCTCCAATTATGAAGAACATAAAAAAGGAGTAATTATTAAGGAGATTAGTCTTTAGCACTCTTGAAAGGAGGAGCCCATGCTCTGAGGTTTGAGATGTACGCGTTCAAAGAAAACTTGAATTGTATGCAACGTATATTCAGTTTCAAAGCTTTTAAATGTATCTTCTTCGGAATAATCATCAATTGGACATTTTGAATGTATATTCTGTCGTGAAAAAAAAGAAAGAATGAATTTCAGTTTTGACATAGCTTATGTTTTGCTAACTTGCCCCATGTGTATGGTGTTTCTAAGTAGTCTTCAGTTTTGCTTGCATTCATGTTCTCAATTTTAACATCGAACATTTTTTAGATGGGACAAGAGGAGATAAGTGCCAGTGGAACTTCCTACCTAAATAGGACCGAGGCAGCAAATGTAGAAAAAATTGTGACCACTTTCTTAAGAAGTGGTGTAGTCCCTAGTCAGGTACAATATAGTTGACATCTTCGGTTGTCAGGATGATATTTTCCTTCTTTTTTTTTTAATATATGTTATTATCCTGTTGCTACAGATTGGAGTTATTACACCATATGAGGGCCAACGAGCTTACATTGTGAACTATATGTCAAGAAATGGTGCTCTCAGACAGCAACTTTACAAGGAAATTGAGGTAATGCTTATAAAGAGTTTGTGGATGCCCTCGTTACTAGCTGCTGCAATTATGCACTCTTTCTGTTGACAGGTTGCAAGTGTGGATTCATTTCAAGGAAGGGAAAAAGATTACATCATATTGTCATGCGTAAGGAGTAACGAACATCAGGTGGGTTACATTTTCAGGTGTAGTTACTGTCTTTTTCAAGCTTTTTTTAACTATCTATCACCGATTCACTTGAAAATTTAAAAGTGTACCCTTTCTGATGCTGTACATATCTCCTAGAAAGCAAAGGCGTTGGACATTTTAATTGCCTTGTGCATTAACTATTTTGTTTGTTAACCTTTTCATTTCCTTTTCAAATAAGGTTATCATTTTGGAGTAACTGATAACACCTGTTCCTTTTAGGGCATTGGATTCCTGAACGATCCTCGCAGGCTCAATGTGGCTTTAACACGAGCTCGATATGGTATTGTCATTCTTGGAAACCCAAAGGTTTTGAGTAAACAGCCTCTGTGGAATAGCTTGTTGACACATTACAAGGTATGTTGTGCTCAAGTAGAATATTTATATGGATTTTCAGTGAGTTGTGACCTTCTGATACAATATATTTGAAGCTGAGATCCCTGATTTATTATGATATATTTTTATTTCCCGATGAAAGTTCATTCTTATAAAATAAAATTGTGATATTTGTTCATCTTTCATCTAAGCTAAGTATTTGCTGTATTTCTGGCTTACTTCACTATCAATGTCCGGCAGGAACATGAATGCTTGGTTGAGGGTCCATTGAATAACTTGAAACAAAGCATGATTCAGTTTCAGAAGCCTAAAAAGGTTGACCACTGGATGAACAGGGGGGTGGGGGGACTTTTAAATTGATTGTTCTTCGCTGATTATTTTTATGCTTCAGATATACAATGATCGGCGTCTTTTCTTTGCTGGTGGTCCTGGAGTTGTCCCCAATGATAATTTAGGGCCTGTTGCCCCATCTGGTCCTAATGCTGATAGAAGAAGTAGTCGTGGTAGAGGTATGTTTTTTCCCCGGATATTCTACAATTTTCATAAGTTCCCAACTTCGTTTTGCGGAAGTTGTTCTTAAGGATTCATATGCTGCTTATGGCTCATTTCATGACCACGTAGATTGATCATGCCTTTCCTTTTTTTTTTTTTTTTTTTTTTTTTTTTTTTTTTTTT